AGCACCTAGTCCACACTTTAAAGCACTTTTTCTAGGATGGGTTCATGAACTCAATTATCAGACCTCGTACAAAAGCAGCTCTGATGGCCATTCCAGAAAATGGGTTCCAAAATTGCTGAGAAGGGTGGACTAGCCCAAGGGCAGCACTTTGAGGGTGACTGTAGTGTTACTCAGCAATGAGGTTTATATCGTTTTTTCTAGGGTGAGTTCACAAACTTAATTGTCTGACCTTATAGGCTTTTCTGTGAAAAATGCTCTATACCTTAGTCTTCTAGGGACCCAGAAAGGCTAAACATCTGCTGAGAGGGGTCCTAATGACAACTTACCTCTCTTTGAATTTTGAAAGCAAACTCTGTCCCAGGCCGGGTTCCTTGGATGCAAGCAACAGAAATAGAATCTAGCAAAATCAAGCAAAAAAAAAAAAAAAAAATCATCAGAAGGAGCTTCAAGATCCATGGAGTCAAAGGATGGAGATGTAGGCTCAGAAAAGAGTAAGAAGGATTAAGAGAAATGAACTAAAGATACAAAAGGTTCCCATATCTGCTATAGTGGGGAGCATTACTAGGCCCGGGCCTAGCTGTCATTGGAACCTGAGCAATCACTGACCTAGCTGTCATTGGAGAGAGAGGCTGTAGAAGAGGGTGTCCTAACCAGAGCTGTGACCTTCAGGTAGAAGCTGTGGGCGTCCAGGCCACAGGTCATGTCCTAGGAGTAATCTGACTAGGCTGCAGCAGTTTGCATAGCTGTCACCACTGCTTCTGATGTCCCCAAATATCCCGACCTCTACCACTCCCCACAACTACTATGAATGAGTTCTGAACCATCCCCTGACTTCTTTACCACTGGACTAAGACCCAAGTCTCAGGGAGTCCAGCCGGCTGGCAGTGGAGAGGAGGACTGTCTGGCCACCTTCAGATTCCCTACTAGGATGTCGGGCCCTGCACACTGCCAGGACTCACACTGTGAAGTTTTTCCTGTACCAGTAAGAGTCCTAGCAAGAAATAAGTAATGGAGGAGTATCTAATAAAGGGATTGTTTACAAAGGAGCAGGAAAGATTAAGAGAATATTACCTGGGCCAGGCCCAGCATCACTGGAACCCAGAGAGAGAGGTGTCCCAGTGGGAGGTATGACCTTCAGGTTGCCATGCAACCCTGCAAAGAGAGAGCCTGGGGAATGTGTCCTGTGACTTCCTCCCCTCCCATCTCCTGTCACTACCCTCCTTGCCTGAACACTGGTCTTGCAGCTCCCTCCTACTCCCCGGCTGGTGGGGAGAAGCATGGAGAGTGGTTTGGAAAATATCCAGCACACCCTGCAAATAGGCTGTATCCATCAGTAAAAGCCATGTGCGTCTCTTCCTTTATCCCTGGAAGAGTCGAACTACTCTGAAGATGAATTCAGCTTACGGGTTGGAGGGAGGGGTCGGGGTGATGGTGGAACCCTGAGCCAGGAGGGAGGGTGTGTAGTACGGGCGGGCGGTTGGGACCTCTCAGGTGGCCAGCCTGTAGGTGTGGCCCAGCAAGTCTGCTCAGAACCCTGTGACGGGTGGTGGTGGGAGGGGACCCTGCATCACGCACATGTGTGTGCCCTGGCATGCTCACCCGGGGCAGCTTCTGGCATCACTATACCCAGAGCTGTCCTTTCAGGGTGGTCCCTGGGGCCACCCCTGGTGGCTGAAAGCCCATATCCACCTCCTGTCCCTCGCAAAGCCGTGAAGTCGGCAAGGCTGGGCTCTGTTCTCCCACACCCCTCAATTTCCTCCAGCCCCCTTCCCCTGCACACTCCAGTGCTTTGACACCACAACTCCTCTGTTTAGCAGGGAGCAGGGGCTTGGAGCTTGCTGTAAGGTGGGCTGCTATGTTGCCTCTCAGGGGTGAGAGGTCCCACTGCTGAACTCTCTCTGCCTTTGCCTAGACAGGCTCAGTGATTCTTGAGTCCTCAAAGGAGAAAGCTGAGGTGAGGATGGGGAACTGGTGTTGTCAGCAAGTTCTGGCTGA